GGAAGAACATTGTTTTTGTTGATGTTGTCTTTGATCACTATCCTGGATGTGGTCTGATGAGGTCTATATAACACTGTCGCAGATCATAGAAGATCTCATGCCTACTAACAGAGGAATTTGTTGTGCCAGTAACAATGGAAATACAGCTAATAATTAATAATAGCTTTTTGCATGGCCATGGCTGTAGGTTTGCAATCAAATAATTGAAAGGGAAATGAAAACTTCTTTGCTTATGAGATGCACCCATTTTATCTTTTTAATGCACTTTTTGCATTAATAATCATCTAACTGGTCATAATCTTTCTAGCAAGAAGTTGTTCAAATCCTTCACATGATGACTGTAACTTTGCTAAGGAAAATAGTGAACCGATGACAGTTGACTTATAACCAGCAAATGCCTCTCATGACCTGTGATGGCTGTCTTTGGAGCCTTTTTGAGACTGTTAACTGTGATATGACAAGATAAGAACTTAGTGCTGACTGTTAACCTGCAGTGACGTTTGAATTATGATATTCATTGTCACTTCACTCAATAATTATGTAACCATGAGAAGCTGTAATGAGAAATTTAACATTAGGTTTAAGTGTTATATTTTACATATTACTTGAGGTGTGATATGAATTAACCTCCATGATACTATTGTTTATGAGTTGGGGAGAAAATATCCACATGTCAGGCATTTTTGAACAGTCTTTCATCAACACTTATCAAAAATGTGACTTTTCCAAACATTTGATTAAGAAAATGCAATCTACAAAATTGAGATCTCTGGTTCAGTAACAGATACAACAGAATTAACATGGCTTTGATTTTGCTAATCTACAATTAGCTGATACCATAACTTGCAGAGTAACCAGCTTAAAAAGCAGCATTAATTGTGTGTTTTTGAGTAATCTACCACATTCCAAATTCATGTTCTGTCACTTGCATCTCCTCAACAAGAATATGGGTGAAAAATTCAATTCTCAGAAGAGGTGTCACCTTCAAAACTATCACCTGCCCTCTTGTCAGCTTTTGGAATATTGCCTTCAGATTCAACTGCGAACACTGCCAGTATGTTATAACTAGATGTACAAAACTCAAGGGTTTTTGATGACCTCATAACAAATATTTGTCTTATTTATTCAAATGTAGATGTTATTATTATAGTGTTTGCAGCATAGACCCATGTAACATCCAGAAAGTATGAAAACAAAACAACATCAACCACAAGTTTAGGTCATTACATGGGATGCCTGTGGCAGACCACATTAAGAATTTACTTGAGTGTCGTCATAGTTAGATATGGAAGTTAGCCATGTGCTTGTGCTTCTAACTGAAGATATGCCCTGCTGGTTGGGATTACTACTTGGATGGGTGACCACAAATTATCCCATGTTGTTGATCTTTTTTCTAGTCTTTATTTTTCAATTTTATTCCTGTACTCTGAAAAGTCAGCATCAAATTTATTATTTTCCACATAGAACCTGAGTGACTGTAGATAACGACCAATACATTCCATGTTAACACCTTCAGGCATTTTGTTTGATTAGGTTTTCCTGCAATTTTACTCAGGACTTTCACTTTATTTTTATTATGTCATTTCAAATTTTTCACTGCACAGTTCATGTTGTTTTAGGTTGAAAGCACAAAAGGTGTGTTAACAGAGAAGTGATTGTGGAGGTCAGATTGGCACAATTTGTTCTTTTATTTGTGTTCAGTTGTTTTCCATAGTATCAGCTTGTTTTTTTGTTGGGTTTTTTTTTATCGTTAAAGGTGAATATTTTTATTTCTACTTAGTCACATCATTGCATTTTTAGTTTGTTTATGTGAAAAACACTTTGCATGAAATATCAGAAACTGGATTTTAACTCAGTACAATGCATTTGTAGTGATATTTTTTGGTCACAAGTTGAAGTTTGATTGCCGGTTTTATACAAAACAAAGAATCACAGGCACAAGATCAAATGTTGCAGTTTTTGTTGTTTGCGCTTGTATGTCACAGTGAGCAGACCAGTTCAAACTCTAGAGTACTCACTGCTTCAATGTCAAGACTCAAACAACTAGGCCTATCTAAGATTGGATATCTATCTTTGCAAGAGCAGCATCAGAGTTGAATTCAAGCCAACCCATATTAATTTAGTGTGGCTCAAATGCTAGTCATGCGGTGATCATGGGCTAACTTCAGTCACAGCTCCCTACATCAGTCACATTCATTTAAGATACATAAAGATTGAAAGTATTATTGCATCAGGTTCATCATATGAGAAGTTCAGCGTGTGATTCAATGGTGGTCCACTGCTGTTATTCCTTACTAAACTCTGCACAAAGAATGGCTGAGTTGAGCTAAATTCACCTGGCCTTTTCAGATTTTTTCTAACATCCTGGGACCAGTTAATCAAAAGGTGGATAATGCTGTTCAACAGACAAATCGCTATCAAGTGGATAAGTGTTAACAAAACATACTGCACAAGACACCGGATAGAGATTTATCCAGTGGATAGCGTTGTCCATGCTTTGAACAACCACAATTGGGACTGTTTCACATGAACTTGATAACACATGATTCTGTAATTAAAATGTTTCATAATTGCACTTAACACGAAATATATTTGGCTCAATGTAAAGAATGTGCAGGGTCATTTCCCAAGATCTGATTGTTAATTCTCCCCTCTTGCTGCTACACATTTCCTTGTAAATTAGTGACAAGAATTCAGTGTTAGGTCAAGATAATTACTTTACTGATGAGTTTGAGTATTCTCATTACCTTTAGGCTGGATAATATATGGACATTGTAGAGAGAATCTACCCATCAATCACCTGAGAGTTAAAGGGGTTATCCTACATTTTTTTTTTAACCTGCTTTTTTTTCTTTTTCTTTCAGATTTATCCCAGTCATCCTCTGCAGTTGTGGGACCCATACTTTTTATATTTGGTAGTTTAGCAATAGGCTTGATTGCCTCTAAACTAAGATAGCAGTTAAAGAGAGAAGATATCTAATTGAATGAATGATTTAGTATTAATTTATTACAAAATTTATTTTCGATGAAATTACTAATTGCGTCCATGAGATTTAGCCACAAAGGGATTAAGTGAATGAAGTATTTTTTTCATGTTGAAGTATGTTTTGGCATGTATGTGGCATATATTGTCAGTATTATTACCATAATATCGATGTTGAGAAAGGGTTGGGTTTAATATGTTAACCTCTGTTATGTAGTTCCAAGGATTGTCAGTTTTAGAGCAATTTTGCAATTGAGTGTCAAAAGTCATCTGGAATTGCTTCGGTTTTACTTTACTTTGCTTTGTGGTCTACAAAGCTTGCTCCATCCTCTCAACTAATCACATTGAAATCTAAAACCAAACAGTACTTAGTCATTCTTGCCCCCCTACCCCTACTACGTTATGCCGATTGGTTGTTTATTATGAGCTCTCATTGAATCTTTGTCACGTTTTCCCTTCTTCCTCCTTCCTTCCTTCTGATTATTTTGGTTTTGGTTTAATGACGCTGACTCGAGATTTGCTCTATTCATCACCTGAAGTATTTAAACCCTTCCTCCTAAGATCAGAGTAGATGTTCTCCCCTCTAGATGCCATAGAATTCCTTGTAAGTTAGGCAGGAGAATTTGGTGTTACATCTAACATGACCATCTGACCGATAACTTGGGCAATTCTCAACACCTGTTTGCTGGAAGTTGTATTGACAGTTTAGGGAGAAGTGACATTTTAGTCACCCCAGAGTGAAAGGGACAATTGTTACAATGGCATGAGAGTATGTTTGTTTTTCTTCTGCCACGACTTTCTCTTGGAAACAACAATTTATTTATCCATCAGATTTAAGTATAGGACAAATTCAGTTACTTTTGTAACAACTGAACTCATAATCACGTTTGAAACATTAAAACAACAATATTGAAGGTTTTTTGTTGACTCTTGCGTTGCGTGAACTAAAGCCTCAAGATTATGAAGTTAATGCACTGCAAAGTTGTCTTATAAATTTTAAAATTGAACAGTTTTTCTCCGAGAAGTACTTTAAAATTTACATAAAGTAACTTTGGTTGAACCTGCAGTAGACTTCTCCTTCCTTTGGTGCAATATTCTTTTCTGTGTGAAATAAAGGAAATTTAAAACACAGAAACGTACGCGCATAATTTGAAATATAACAATATAAATTTTGCAATTTTCGCGGATAATTGGAGATATTTAATGGAGGGCTATTCAAAGCATGTCATTGATGAACCTTGGCGACGATTGAGCGAGATACGGCAAAAAAGCAAGTGAGAGTTAAGGACACCACACCTCCCATCATCATCGCTTTAAGTTTTCTCTTAAGCTTTTGGCACTCCTCAGAATAACCTCAGCCCATTCAGCAGCAGCTAGTTTCAGTTTTACACATTCTCTAAGAAAATAGAATTTGTTTGACATTTATTGACTGCACGGTAACCTTGATTCTACAAGCCTGGATTCTTCACTGATGTGACAGCATTCCCATTCCTTTCGCTCTCTTTCTTTCCGCGCCAACCCTGCGGTTGTGATTGGCTCTCAATCCTTTATTCCGTTCACTGTGCGCTCTGTTCCTCTTCTCTGCATCACTTACACCCCTGCCACGCCCTTTGGGTCCACCCTTTTGTCCCTCTTTCGCTCCGCCTCCATCCTTTTCACCTTTCTTTGGCCCACGAGGGCCGCGGTAACGTCGATTCACGAGCGCTTTGTCTATTTCTTGTTCACCTTCTTTCGCTTTTCCTTCCTCGGAGGGGCCCTCTTCTTCGCTGTCTTCTTCTTCGTCAGACGGTACAGGAGATCCGCCAAGAACACGCGGAATAGTGAACGGCCTGGCAAGAAATGAGAGATGAGTATGTCGAGTGGTATGTTGCTCGCACCAGAGTACTTCCAATTATTTAGTCGGAGAAAGAATCAAGTCGCCATTTTATTCTGACCAACCCGTTTACCCACAGTGAGGATAAGAGCGACTGGCTTCTTATTCTCCTAACAGAATCATCCTTGAATCAATGTAAAGCTCCCAAGAATAATGGAAATGATCACCGATTTAAGAAGCTCCTAACTGTCAAAAGACTTATCCTTGTCATTACAACAGGAAATGTAGAGGGATTAGTGTGGAGAATATACATATTAATGTTAGGGCGAGAAGAGGTAACTGAATACTGTTCATATTGGTTGTAAAGAGCACCGCCGCGCTTTTTAAGTATTTGACCTGACGATGAAGAGCTTACGATACATTTTTTTTAAATACGCCTTTTCCACAGGGCTGCATGGTGTTACTTCTGCCCCCATGATTTTGTGTAAAACCTTCAGTGTGAGAAAACTAAGAATGATGTAACATCTAGAAGATTGAAATTACACTAACATCAAAAAAACAGTGACCCACAATATAAGTATGAAAGAAAAGAAACGAGTTTCGGGCATACGCGCATCTTCTTTGCGATGGTTAGGAAGGAAAATACTTCTGACTAGCCTGTGAACTGGCTCCATTTGGAAGGGTCGAGGAGGAACTGGCCCTCACGAGGAGCTACCGCTAGAAACGTCAACTTAAGAAACTCTTTACGGTGGCCAATTTACATTAACAACTTAGTTAATAAAACCAAATTCTCTTAGCTTTGAATTAAGCTGCCGGCGGATTGGACGAGCAGAGGGTAAAGAAGTGGAAGTGACTTCGCCCTCCCCACTCTTTTTCTTCTAGCCTTCTTTCTCGCCCCATCTTCGACTTAAGTGCCTGTGCTAATTTGTTTTAAACTAACCTTCGTACTGTAAGCTCATCTGCCGAGTCGGCATCTTGGGCGCCCACATTTTGTGAATCATACGTATCGTCATACTCATCATCGTACAAGTTAACCATCCTTCTGTGTTCATTAAACACGTCATAAGATGAGTATCTCTCTTTCACTGACTCTGTTATATCACTTTTATCCGATAACAATGTCTGTAGGTTCGTTCTATCTCGCCTTTTCCCTTTGTGAACTTTTGTAACATCGACCTTGCTGCCTGAGAAAACGTCAAATTCATCCTTGTCATAAACAGAGTGTCTCTCCTTCAAGATCGTTGTCGAGGGTTTTTTCTTATTTCTCATCAGCGCTTCTTTTGACAAACTCCTGTCGGCGTCTTGAAGGGAGGGAGGCAAGTTATCCTCAAGTAGTACGTTAATAACTTGTTCCACATCAAAGTTCAATTCTTCTAAACACATGATTACAAACCCGTCACCAAGTCCTGGAAGAAGATCTTGAACGTGAGTTACCATGGAGTACAACTCCACATCACTAACTGTCTTAGATGTTGCTCCTTCATTCTAAAAAAAAAAAAAGAAAGTCCCTTAGTTTTACGTTTTCTACAGGCTATACAATAAAAGAAAGGCATATTATGTACAATAGAGCAATTTTCAACCGAATGTCGAAAGTAATGTGGGATTGCTTTACTTCTTTATGTGATTGGTCCAGAAAACTGGCCACACTTCCTCAACCAATCAGATGCAAAACTAAAACAAATCCAGCTTGGTCGCCCGCGTTTCCCGCGCTTTAGGCAGTTTGGTTGTTTTAACTTTGAGTTCTCATTGGCTCTTAAGATATTTTCCTTTCTTCTGATTGGCCGTTGTGATTACTTTGGTTTTGGTTTCACGACACCCTATATCATTTTCTTCACACTGTGTTTTCGGAAATACCTTGTCCTCGACGAATCCATTGACATTTGCAACATGTTCTTCTGTCCATTCGTCTGCGCGACCATTCACAGGGGTATCAACAACGCTTGTGCTTGGACCAATAGTTGAACCATTTTCATCAGTGTTCTTTCTCTTCGAGAAATGACGAGGGAACGCCTTTCGTGCACTGTCCACTGCATCTAAAATGTAATCCATCCGTGTTTCATCGACACCGGCTGTCAACTGCTGGATTCTGTTCAAGTCTTCTCTTATACTGAATCTTGAATCATAACTGCTCAGAAATCTGATTATAAACAGAGAAACGCGTTTTTAAATTTCCATAAATAAACAAATTGAAACATGAAGGGTCTAAGAGGTGAGACGTCAAACGCCAAACGTCAGCTTTAAAAGCTCTTTACGGTGCCAATTTACATGATCAACTTAGTTGATAAAACAAATTATCTTGTTAGTATACAATGTAGTAATTGATTACAGATAAATACCTTTTCTCAGAAAGAATAGACGTCAACACTTGCAAATAATCTTCAACACAAGTTTGAACTTGATCATCATTTCTGCTAGATTCCCTGTATGAAAAAAAAAAAAAAAAAATCAGAGCTTGCAATGTAGATCACAGTTGAGAGAAGAGGCATCATTTGTTTTGGCCAATTCAAGTGAGTAAAAAGCAAGCATGAGGAGATGGCAAAGCATTTTCTTTTTGCCCTCCTCCTATATGTGAATTGCCCTTTGTATTCTCTTTGCTCTGACCTTATCCTTGCCTCAGTTATCCTGAAAATTGCCAAAATATCTATACCTTTTCCACACACTGTATTCTACAAAGAACAACCCCTGTAAACATTACTTACATTCTAAAACAACTCTACTTACCTCTCTAGTAAAGGTGCAATGCAACAGGTGTGAAGAACCACTCGGCAAAGTCTGATGAGTGCCACTTTAAAACATTTCCATTTATCCTTTAACATCTGTAATTCAGCACCAGAGAGTTGTTGTCTAAAATATGGGGTGAACAGTTCATAGAAGATGGCTATTCTTTGTACAAATCCTTGTCTTTGAAATGATTGACAGACTAAAGGACAAGTCTCCACAAATGCCATCAGAGTCTTTATAGTATCATTTAAGTAAAGAATAATATCCTCCAGTTGCAGAACAGTCATGGAGGAAGTTTGTTCCATCTTTGAGTCCGTTAGTTTTTGAGGAAGATTTGAAGGGTCCTCTGTTTTGGGCTTGATTCCACACTTTGACAAGATATCATCTAATGTCTCAAAAATGGTTGGGATTGTTCCATTGAGATCACCATAATACCTTTAAAAGAATAGGAAGTATGCTGTTATAAACTAATGTAATACTGGGAAGTAAAAGGAAAGTGCACTGCTAATGAATTGATTTGTGCCTATGTGTGCAACTTGTATCAATTGGGGAACAAGTCAAAAAGAAAATCACACAGCCCTAGTGTGCATTTCTCTATGGTCCCAGCAACTTAATGGGCCCAGAAAACTGTACTGTTTTCCTTCAAGATGGGCATTTCCAAAGTTTCAAACATAATATTATAAAACTATCATCCAAAGAATGGAACCAGAACCTGCTCCTTTATTCTATAAATTATTATTTTCAAATATGCTTAAGGAACCACTGATTTTCCAAAGACCTATGAGAGCGGGCCCTTAAGTGCCTCATTCTGATATGCTAATATCAGAAAGAATAATACTAATAATTCATAGCAATTCAAACTTATGCAAAACTTCAAATGCATCTTACTTTGGTTGTTTAGAGAAAATATTTTCCAGCATTTTTCTGAGAAGTGGAGTGTTAGCACTGCTCTCCCCTCCATAAAGAACACATATGTCCATCATTTTGGGAATATCAAATAAAAAATTTTCATATAGAATATCTCCAAATGTGCTCTGGGTGAAGAAGTTCTCCTGCCAGGAAACCAAACAGTTGAAAAATCAGCATACAGTGAGACAGTTCAAACTCTTTTGATTTAAGCAGATATAGACAAATCTTTACATCTGGACTGGGTAAAGGACATATCGAGGACTCCCTCTTTTATGCTCTTGCAGAGTTTCTAACATGCATTATTCAATAGCAAGGTATTCCTAAGGTAAATCCAGGCACTCTGATTGGTTCTTACTTGGCTGGGATTTTTCCTTACAGACTGTTTCCATGGAAATAGTCATTAGCCATGTATTTTTATTTGTGATAGCCAGCAAATTCAAAATAAACAAGTTTGATTCGAGTGCCATACAGTTAACCCTTTCACTCCCACAAGTGACTAAGACAGAATTTCTCCTTACAATATCAATACAATATCAAGCAGGCAGGTGATGAGAATAGAGAAGAATATCAATCATGGGATTATTAGTTGATCCAATACCAAATTCTCTGAACTAACATCATAAGAATTGTATGGCAGATAGTAAGGAGAATTTAGATCTTGGGAGTGAAAGGGTTAACTACTTACTACCCTCCCTTGCTCAAGCTGTATAGAATAATATTGGCCCTCAGTGCTTTTTGTACAGACCTTACTGCACTTGGTCCATACTGCCCAGACCTTTGGCCAATATTCCCAAGTATAGCCCTTGTGCTCCATCAGAAAGAAGTTAATATTTATGCATACCAAGGAAACTGTTGTTATTGACGACATATGGTGACAAGCATTGTTGATTAAGCATAAACAAAAGGTTTTTTTTGTCTGTTTCATCGTTAAACCCAGGTAAGGCCTAAAACCCTCAATATAAAATGTTTCAACATAATCTAAATTAATGATTAATATCCTATTTAAATATACCTTGGATTCCTTGTGAGTTGACATCCTCAGGTATGTCATGAACACCCTTTTGTGAATTCCTTCATGAAGAGAGGCTGCCTCTGATGGCAAGACTGATAGTGCATCAAAATTTCTGGCAGCAGAAGGAAACAAAAACAATATCATTATTGCTAAATAATAATAATAATAAAGCCACAACAATGCTCCCTCTTGCTACAACCTTACAGCAGGACATAAGATCACACCTAATGCTGGTGTAACCTGGAGAAACACCTGCACCATTTTACTAATTAATATTTAATCCCTGTTTCTACGAACTGCTGAAATGTCAAACAACCAAACTCCAGCCCTTCACTTCAGAATGATAATTCTTTTACTCTAACAAGTAAAATCCCAGACAAAACAACCTGCTTTGACAAATATTGGTATAGTTTTAGGTCATATTTCAGCTTGTTACCGAGAGACAAATGAAGATGCCTCATCATATCATCCTTGATCAATGCTGTTATTATTTCAGCTTAGGAATATTTTTTATAAAAATAAGTGAAAGTTAAAGTTTTATTGTATATGTACTCAGTACAAAAACAAATTAAAGTGTTGCTCTGTGGTCTTCTGTCTGCAATTGGATGGTAACAGAAATCACCACAGATAATAATTTATTTTGAAATCTTCACCTTGGTGCACATTTGAGGTATGAATCCAAGCATTGTTGTAATGATTCATCAAATATTACCTAAAAGAGAATAAAGAAGCATCAATTTTTACCATAAATCAAGTTGCAGACACATAATATCAATTTCAAGCATAATCAACAGTAATGAAATTTAACCTGACACCAAAATTTGTTATGTGGAAGGCTCAGAAGCCATTTTAAGTCTTCACTGATAAATGACATTCTCTCAATCCACTGTTCCATTCCACCATGATCCAAGGGAGAAGCAGATGAGGGCTGCACAGGGGGAGGGGAGTAAGGAACAAATTGCACATCCTCAATCCACACTGGACTCTAGTAAACAAAAAAAAAACAGTCTGTGAATAAGAACCAATTAACTTTAACCCTTCAGCTGCCATGAGTGACCAAGACAGAATTCCTCTCTACAATATCAATACAGTAGTTTGTGTGACACCTCATCCTGTCAAAAAAGCAGAAAAATCTATGCAGTTCCATGGTTAAACCCACTTTGCCTCTCTCTCAAGTTACATACCAACTCTGGAATTTCTTCAAAAATCTTTGTCACAGGATTAACAGTCTTCCTGACACGCAAATCCAGAGGTAGTCCCTCAGGTTCCTTGTCTCTCTACATAAGATATAAATGATGAAAAATAAACGACAGTGAAACTGATAATGATAGTTATACTAATACTTAAAATAATAAATTTAGTTGGAAAATTTTTTTGGAAAAAAAATTTAAACCCACTCGTAGTAAGGTAAAGGAACTGTGTAATATACTAGTTCTACGGCGAAAATTCATAACGTGTACTTTTATTTATGTTGTGGCTTAGCTTGGTTGAAATTTAACAGTTATACTATCTATTTTGAAGAAGAAAAGAACGGAAGAACTCGTACTGCACATACACAAGGCAAAAAAGTTCTTGGAAAACACGGGACGAATATTGCTGAAACAGCTGAAATTAAAGGGACGGTGGCACTTTGGTGAAATTTTCACGCGTTGTTGTAGTTTTATTTCCTGCTTTCAAATTTTCATTACAAGTATTCAAAACGATAACTCTAATTCTTATTTTATTATCTAAAATAAAATTTTACCTTTTTTCGGGACATTGTCAAAATAAATCGCCTTTCGAAATCACGTTTAGCGATTTCGCGGAAACCCTTCGTCCGCCATATTCGAATCCACAGTTAACATTGTCAGCAGTTTCCACTACATAGGGGTTATATTATTGGCCGTACGTACAATACCAAGACCCCCCTCCACTGTTTTCTGTGTCTCGCATGTGTGCTTCATTCTCTTCCATTTTTGCTGTGAACTGCGATCATGGTGTGTAGAATGGTCCCGTTTTATTTAAGTTTTTTAGGCGATCTGTAGGCAATTATAATGGTTATAGGAATTTAATTGAAGTAAAATTAGTTTTTTAAGTCACTGAAAGGCTCAGAAATGACATATTAGTGAATTTTGGGTTTAAATGATAGCAAAAACAAATGTGAAATGTTTAAAAGATACGAAAACTTGGTTTAATCGAGAAAGATGTTTACTGTAATTTCTCTTAAAGTAGCATTTTAAGGTTTTCCAGTGATAAATTAACTTAGTTCTTGTCTATGCCCTTTTAATATGGAATTAAAACTTCGCATACAAGTAAGGAGGATAAAGTAGACAGACAAATGATATGTTGCAAAGAAGCATCAGCGGAAACCAAGGCGTACAGGGCCGGTTCTTTTACCTCTCATTGAATCAAATTGTTACCTCCTTTGTTATTCTGTGTTCGTCATATCATGCTATCGAGATTTATTTCTGTGGCTCTTCGTTTGTTAGTTGCCCATTCTGATCAGAAACGTAAAGAAGTGTTGTCTGGATCAGAGTGGTTTCCAAATAATTGCCAGTCATTCAAAATTTGATTTGGATGTGCATCATGACATACAGAAGCCCAACATATGCATCTTGTTTACAGAGCAGTAGTTTTGCTTTTTATCCTGACAAAAATCCCAACAAACTGCATAATTTTTACATTATGTGGACTTCTGGTAAATTTGTCACTGATCTTTTACTGATTATGCAAAGTGGTGAGCACTAACAATGCTCACACAGCTGTATGTGTTTGTGGTGCCTCAGGTTGAGAAATGTTGGCATGACATTGCCACATTACTATTACTATCACGATGATCAATGACTGCGGTCAACAGAATGTCTGGTTTTTTTTTTCCTCTACAGCCACCCAAGAAGGATACTAAGCAGTCGTCCTCAAAACCTAAAGATAAGCCATCAGGTGGTGGTGGAAAAGCTAAGAAGAAGGTTTAGTTGTGTTTTCTTTGCTTAATTTTTGGCTGTGATATTTACAGAGGAAATTAATTTAGGCTCTTAGATAAAGTAAATTGTGTACTGCAACATTGCCAACACTACTCCCCCCCCTACATTGTACAGGGAATATTAGGAAGAACTTGCATACTGACAGCAAAGTATAAAGGGTTGACAGACTGGATGGTTCAGAAGTGCATTTATGTTGTGTAGACTGTGTTTTGTTGCCATGAAAATCATTACCGGTTTCATGCACACTGTCAAGGATAGTATTCATGGATGCAATTGCCCGTTTGAGGTTTACACTTCAGTTGTTACAATCCACAGAATGGTCATGCTTCAAGTTAGTTGGTCCAGTTCTCCCTGATAGACAAACACTTAAACTTCCAAGATCTGATTGTCAATTCTGCCCTTTAGCTGGTACACATTTCACCGTAAATTAGTTATGAGAATTGGTCTTAGATGAAGATAACTTCTATCTGATAAGTTTTAGTGTTTTCATTACCTGTTTGCAGGATAATGTATGAATATTTTAGAGAGAAGTGACATGTTAATCACTTCTGGGAGATAAAGGATGAATAAACTTAACAGTTTGTTTTCTTTGAAACCTGCAGAAGTGGTCCAAGGGAAAAGTCAGGGACAAACTGAACAACTTGGTCCTCTTTGACAAAGCCACATATGATAAGCTGTACAAAGAAGTCCCCAGCTACAGGCTGATCACTCCTTCTGTTGTGTCTGAAAGGCTGAAGATCCGAGGCTCACTTGCTCGCCGTGGATTGCAGGAACTGCTCTCTAAGGGCCTGATCAAAGAGGTGTCTAAACATCACTCACAGCTGATTTACACCAGAGCAACAAAGGGCAGTGAAGAACCTGCTCATTGATGTGGATAATTTGGAGTAAATAAATTCAGTTTCCTATTGATTCTTGTTTCTTACATTTTTATGCATCAGTCGCAACAAAGCATTTTCAGTGGTGTGATGGTGAAACATCCCAGTTTTGTCAGGCAGTGGAATAGTACAGGCACTGGGGATTTTATTATAAGCTAATAACCTGTGGTCTACCCTTGCCTCTAAGGTCTCGCACTACTGTCTGTGAAGATTTTTCAAATGTGGGCATTCTTCCCCTCCCCTCTTCCTTGTTACTTCTTCGAGTGCTTCTCATGTTAGCTAACACTATCAATGCTTGCCAGAATAGGTGGAATAGGTTGAGTAGATGTACTGCCCACATGTGTCATCAGGTAACAGTGCATTACATATTTTGATTTGCTCTTTCTTCCATGATAAGCAAAGTTTGTGCCCATAAAACTAAACAAAGCAAAACAACCTCCCAAAGATTGGCAAGATTCCTAACTAAGCGCAAGAAAGACAGAATCACAACTTTATTTTTCCTTGGATTTAATATCAACAATTATTTCCCAAAATTTTAAAAAATATTGACCGGACTACAGAAGTTTACGGTAGGTTACATTTAAGAAAACAATTTTTAATTATTGGGTGATGATTCTTTGATCTATGTTGTAGTTGAATTTTGAGTAGTATATCAATATTTGGCTTCAATATTTACTTTTCCCTTTACCGCGTCTTCCTCAATGCAGATTGGGCAAAAGAGACAACAAAATTGGAACTGAGTGCCTTAACTTCAAATTGTACAGTATGTGAGCTGGGGCCTCAAAATTCTTACAGTGTTATAACCCTCTTGGAATTCAGGAAGACATGGTACTTCAAACTATTCTAATACATTAGTGCTGTGTTACCTGTTTTCCACAAAATTATTTCTCAATTTATTTTACAATTAATTTAATGAACGGTCAAATATTTTTTTAAACTTGCATCCAAACATCGCCACACCACCAGTTAAAAGCGTTTTAAACGCTGTAAAAATCTAACCGTTTGCTTTCTTTACCACTTCGATTTTGACGCATTGCCTTCAAGGGAAGTGTTAACGAAGAGAGTTTTTAGAAAACAAAAAAGACAACGAAAGGATAATTTTTGGCCGTCATCTTGAATGTAGAATCATGGCGAGACTTTGTCAAGATATGCACGGTGATTTTGTACTATAAAAGAGGAAGTTATAAAAGGGGGAGGGGGTGGGGAATTTTTAAACGGGAGTGGGGTGAGTTAAGCATTCCCAAAGGTAGTGCAAGATTCTGTCTCCATGATTATTTGATTTGATTTCTACTTATTTTACAAGAGGAATGCAATTGTTAGATTCGATATAAGACTAACAATAACAGTACACCTGATAAGTTCTTAAAAAAAGAGAGAAAGGTAAACTACATGCAGAGAGGATGCGCGATACACAAAATGCCTTTACAAGAAAGAGAAAGGGCGTTTGATTCTAATCAACTGGTTTTTCCAGAATTTCATACACGTGTAGCGTTATTCATAAACAAAGGCTTCCTTATAGCTTCTCAAGAGTCTTGTAGAATAAGGACAAATGTGTCTGTAATCCAACAATCTTAACACAACTGTTAGACGTTTTGCAGACAAATCAGGAATGCAATTCAAAGCAGTATATTAGAAATGCACCTACAACAACAATTGGGAACTCTATGGTTCATTTTTCAATTAACTCTACGGTACAAAGGTGATTCAAACCGATCGTTTCGTTTTGTTCACAGCCTACCGAATACGATCGGAAAATTTCCTGTACAATTATCAGTAATGAATGTCTTTCCAACGTTGCTTGCAATACAGCAACAAATTGGACGGGTTTTCCTTTAAATATTTTTGGGGAAATGAATTAAGAAACGACTGGAGCAGCTCTGCAAGTCAATTCTCAAGATTTTGAATCACCAAAATTCTTGTTTCACTGGGTGATGTTATACCCCTCCGTCAGCGTGTTCTAATAGAGATTCTACCGTCTGGCAAACACGTAACGGACTCTTCTCCTCGAGAATATCCGATGGTGTACATAGTTTTTCCTACAAAACGAAAAGGAAGAATAAAATGAATCGTTGTTGTCGACTTGAATGGCTTCAGATTGCTTGGTATGATTTTGTGTGAACAGAAGTAAGTTTGGTCTTAGACACGTAGGTCACAAATCTTCGACTCCTACTAACTAGTGCAGCAGGTACGGCAGCAAAGCCCACGATACGCCTTTAAGTGGCCTAGAAATTTTTGTGCCAGACCTCTCGCGCGCTCGCTCTGCTCACTGACTCGAAAATCACAGGATTCGCCGTGTTTGTCACAGAGCTTACCACAGCCTGCTCCAGTCAGTAGTGGAAATTCTTTAGAATTCAAGCTAGTTTTGCGCATCGTGCAATCTGGTAACACTTTTGAATGTTTGATCCTTAAACTTTTTCGTTAACCTTCTTATACAAACAAACTGCAAAAGATAATTGGCTGCATTGCTATTTTGATGCTCATGTTATTGTTATTGTCATTGCTCAAAATGTAGTTTCCATTTTACAATGAGCATTCAGTTTGAATACTAAGTAATACAACGGAAAACAAGCATTCTTGGTGGTTGCGTTTGTCTAATTTGCCAATGAGTAACTCACAAACACAACAGAAGCATTCCACTAATACGTGTAAAGATCCCCGTTAATATGCATTACCTTGTCTACTCCAAGCTTTCTACACGCTTCGAGGAAATAATCCACATTTTTCTGACATTTTGGCATTGTAAGTTTGGGCTACGAGGCAAAAAAAAAAAGAGTGATCACAGGACGAATTTTAAAGCAAGAATTCAGCACACTTACTTAAGTGATTATTTTGTAACTCCTCCACACAATTTCATAAATCATGGGCCCCTCCAACACAAAAATAGGGTGTTCTCTACAGTTACTGGTGGCATTTTCGTGTCCTTCGATTTGCCGTTGTGAAAACTTTGATTTTGATGTCACAAATCTCATTCTTAAACCCTTTAGAGTGACTACATCTAAATTCTCCTCACAATATCACCCCTGAATCACACATTAAGGCCACGAGAATAAAGGAAATGATCAAAAACTAAAGAGGCTCTTAATTATTACACAAATCCTCCTTATCAGCACCTTATACAATGTGTAGAGAACAGTATGAAGAATACGCATACTGATAGTTTAACGTGACTCAGATCTAGTCTTACCACTCCTGCCGAAGGAATATGGATGCTGGGAATCAGCCCTTTTCTTATATGATTTATGAGGTGGCACAGAACAACTCCATCGGCCAATGATGCAGGCAGATCATCTGGTAATGCCACCTTGAGGCGGCTCTCGATACCCTGGAATAATTGAAAGAGGATGTAATGTTAACTGACAGCCATGTTGTATGTGGTCGCCTTCTCAGCCGTTCAGTGAAATAGCTTTGCTACCATCGAGTAATTTTCAACTGAGTGTCAAAAGTAAACGGGATTACCTTGCTTAGGGTTTTAATCAACTTTGCTTTGTGATTGGTCCAGAAAACTCACATCGTGCTCTCAACCAATCAGGTGTAAAACTAAACACAATCACGACTTAGACGCCTGCGTTTTCCCGCGCTTCAAGCACTTTGCTTGTTTTCACTTGAGTTTTCACTGGCCAATGTTAATATAACCATTCCTTCTGATTAGTCGCAAGGATTACTTTGGTTTTGGTTTTTCCGACAACAGTTGAAAACTGGTTAAAAACCTTACATGCGAGAACCTTCTGCAATAGGGGTTCCGTAGAGTTTAGTTAGAATTTTTCATGTAGTGCCATACTACAAGAGGACAGAAGAAAATATGAGGAATTAGAACACAACACACCTCTCTAAGTCTTTCCAGTTGTTCAAATTCCTCTCGTGCACTGTCGTACATTCGCTTTATGGTAAAATTCGGATTGTTTTGGTCTCTGAAGGTCGCTGGTACTGAAAATAGAGAAATATCAAAAATGGATTATGGGAATTCTCACAGGACAGTACGGCCTGATTTTCACGTGAGCTCTAGAATCACGGAATTTTTCGTCAACAACCCCTGTGACCAGTGGTGGAGTTGGATTTCCCCCATACTCACACGATCGGACCTGAGGTGCTTTCTGTCTTGTATGAATATTTGTATAAACCAGTTCCTGAAAAAAAAAGGACTTTTGTAAATACATAAAGAAAGAGGAAAAATATTGAGCTTTGTCGTAGACCAAGCATGTCACTTGCGAACGACTTCCTTCGTAGCTTAGCAGTAAAGCCTGAAGTGCTAATTCTACTGGGAGACTCAGACCGAAACGTTGTTTCCATCCCGTGTCAAATAAACTTTTTTCATCCAAGTCAAAGGCCGCAGAAAATAAACAAATACCGAGAAATCACACGGTGATGGAAACATCCTTAGAGTAGAACAAGCGGTGAAGAAAGGCTTGTACCCAGACGCTAATAACGAGGCTCCAATATAGAAAACAACCCAAAGCTACTGACTCCGTGCAAACATCACTTT